ACTTTTTATTTGATTTAACTTTAGAAGAAAACTTCGTCGACTCCACCATCAAAAAAATTTTTACTTTTTTAACGTGTTTTATTATATTAATAAACAATTTTACAATTTGCGTGCACAGTTCCTATGTAAATTTTTCCCTCATTTGAGTTATAAATTTTGCCACCAGATGGTGTATGCCCATTTGACGGATCCCAATATGTGCTCTTTTATCCGTACCTACGATTTTGCCTGCGCGCATTCAAGGCAATAGAAGGGGCACATCTCTAGAGAAACTAAACGAAGTATAACTACATGTACTTATTTATTCTTTTAAGGTGGCTGTTCCTGATGTGGTTGATGCAGCAAAAGATGCAGACTTTTTGATTTTTGTTGTGCCGCATCAGTTTATTCGCACGTTATGTTCTACTTTACTCGGCAAAATAAAACCAACAGCTGTGGGATTATCACTTATCAAAGTAAGCGAAATTAATCATCACAAGGTAGCCAGTCTAAAGACTGATTGGAAACGCACCTCCACTCCTTGCTATCCAGATCCAATCATCACATTTCCTGAAAACTAGTAATCCCACATTTCTAACTATTTTCCAATAGGTCTACTCGTGTTTTTGCTTCTAATATGCCTCAAGTTAGCCCTTCATACCTTAGAAAGAGTCACAGCATGTTATAATTTTTTATTGACACCCAGAGGGCTCACTATTTTTCTACTTTTTCCAATAACTCCTCTGCCCTCAGTATTTTCATTATTTCTTCTAACTTTTTCTTTTCTGTCGCACCCACCGTCCAATTATCATCATCATCATCATAAGGTCGTCAGTCCTAAGACTGATTGGAAACGTACCTCCACTCATTCCTATCCTGAGCTAATCTTAGCATTTCCCTAAAACTAGAACAATAATAACTTGAATATTCAAATCACCCTTTTGTGAACACTAAAGCGATTTCTTTTTATCAAAAGTGGCTCAACTTTGCTCTCAACCTCTATTTTATGTCTCTTCCAGTTTTTCAGCCCTGGGTAAGGTATCTGACTTTCTAAATATCGAATATCGATTACTTCTAGTTGTTCGTCTCCAATTTTTATCCTACTTTTACCTACCTTATGTATGAAAACTTCTGATTTACTTTCATTTATTACGGTTCTATTAATACCTCTTTCATATTATTTAAATCTGTCTATTTCTCGAATTCTATAACCGCCTGTTGCTTTTTATGTTATCTATGTATCGCTCATACATATCCCTGCATCTCATCCCTACATTGTTAAGTATTTTTAGCATATTTTTCTATTTAAGCCAGACTAATAAAAAAGTAAAAGCTAATGAAAAAATCAATCAGAAAGGATAGATATTTATCGGGTTTTCACGTAATGTAAGATTAACATGATTTTTTCTATAAATTTTAAATAGGTTGTATATAGGGACCAGCTTGTAGTTAAACTCACTCAAAGCTGCACGTTTGTAGTCAAAGTTTTTAGTAGCTTCAGAGGCGTGAATATAATTAGGCTAAGTGGTAAATCTGCTATACTTAAGATATTGCCATCGAGATAAGCTGATGACGAACGATCTTATTGAATAACTGATACTGATAAAAGATGGTATTTATTAAGTACTTCAGACGGCTTGGGAGGAGCCTTCAGAAGCAATTTGTTCCATTAATAGTATGGAAAAATTATTATTATAATCACATCTCTAAACCATTTCGTGTTAAAGTAAGGCTCCTGAATTTAACTTAAAGTTTTACAACAACATACTGCATTTCTTTGTAGGTACAAAGTGCAAGGTTACAGCAGTATATCACTCACAAACAGACTATGTAATTAGTAAATACAGTGTTCCAACAAATTATTTTTTACAGAAAATACACTGTTGATGTTTAAAAATAATTATCTTAATCAGTGACGGTTCGTGGTGAAATGCAGCGAACGTGGTGCATTTATTTACTCACCTAAGCTTTTGAGGTTGTCGTGTCGTCTTGTTATTCCGGTCCATACTTTTCGCCACAAAGAGGTAAACACTGGAAACAAAATAAGACACTTTTCTATATTAAATCGACATTCATATGCTTTTTCTATAGGACAGTGATCAACTACTATTATATAATTCAATTTTTCTTTCATATGTTCAAGTAAAAAGAAAATATTAATTGTTTTTTTCACATTAACGAATCATGTTTTCATGAAACTTCTTTAATTATTTGTATTGTGGTAATTACATCTATAGTAAGTAATGACTGAATGCATACGTTAATTTATTTGTTTTATAATTTATCGTGGGAAAACTCATTTATCAATGCCTCTTCGAGTGTCTCTAGTAGTACATATATATCATCTTATGTCAGTATTAATTGTTCGATAGGTTCATCCGCCAAGCAGAAACGCGTAATATTCCACCGTGTATACTATAATGTGTGTAATCGCCGCTTTCTGCCTACCTTAAGTATGGCTGATTGCCTACCCAAATTACTATACTTTCATCATACAGATGCTATCCGATAACCGTACTGTTCCCAAGGGTTTTGTTTAACACGTATTTAGGACATCAACGAGAGCGGCGCCTGATAATTAGAATCGCTTTCGACATTAAATAATTTAATGAAAAAATAATAAATAGTTCAAAATAANTAGATATTTCATTTAAAGGGGTGTTAGCAGGTATAACGTTAATTGTTATTATTTATTTTTAAGATCAGAAAGTATAAACAAATTGGTAAAATGCATTATTAAAATGCAATACTTTAAAAGAATGGTTTTGAATGCTTTTTCAGATACATTCCGCGAGCTATTTCATTTGTTTGATTGACTCCCCCCCTTCCATCATCATATTCCCGAATCCTAAACAATAATAAATTTTCTAATTTTAAGTATATTGCCAAATAACTTTTACTCTTCTACAAAATTGTACAATATGTTTTTTATTATTATTGTTGTTGTTGTTATTGTTGTTATTTTAAAGTCGTCTATATAATATACATATAATGTATTTTGTTTTAACCCTGTAGATATTGTTTACTGTCTAACAAAAATTTTACAATAACTTTTACTAAATATACCTGATGTTAAAACTTTTCGGTGTTTCTGTATGAAAAATGTTTGCACTTTTTTGATGATTTTCAAATGGAAAATACTTTTGTGGGCGTATGGTATATAATAGGAAATAGTTAATCATTATAATCATAGTTATCTTTATATCAAATTAAAACATTTTAATACTAGGGTTTTGATCAAGCAGCAGGAGGAGGAATTGAATTAATATCACACATTATCTCCCGGCATTTAAGAATTGCTTGTCATGTCTTAATGGGTGCGAATTTAGCGGGAGAAGTTGCCAATGAGAATTTTTGTGAAACAACAATTGGCTGTAGAAACTTCCGTTTGGCACAGACACTTAAGGATCTTATTGAAACAGATTATTTTAGAGTGGTCGTCGTCAATGATGAAGAAGCCGTTGAAGTATGTGGTGCTTTAAAGGTAAGGTAAATAAATTACATTTTTCAAATTAAAACTCCATTATATCAAGTGTAAGTAACTAGAATGCTTTCAATGAAGACAACATTCTCTAGAAACCCTATATGAAAAATATTCACAACTGTGCTAACAATCTCAGTCTTTATCGAGGAGTATCGAGCGAAAAATTTGTTAAACATGTTTAAAAGATAATTCCGTCATAATTTGAGCTTTTTGTTTTAGTATTAATTCATCTCTTTAAAAATGCTATTTAAATAACTTTCTTTTCTTTTAATTACGATAACTCGCCTCGTTTAAAAAGATATTGCGTCCTGCTTGGATCAGTTTATAAGGTACAAATTCTTTTCGGTATACGGTATACACCTTTTAAACTCGAAAATGAATTTATAACTTACAAGTTATTAGTAAGGAGAACAAATTAATATAACTGAAGAGCGATAATTACGATTTAAAAAACTAGTCGACGCCAGTTAGAATCGCACACCGAGGAATTCCCTAATCAGAAATTCCTTTTCTCAACGTAAAATTACTGATCGATAGTGATCAAATTTTGGTGTTTTACCTTAACATGTGTTTTCAAATATTTGAAAACACTTATTACGGTTTTTTTGTTGTTTGTATACAAAGTTTGAATAGCAGTATTGTACACATCATACGTAAAATTGTTTCTGTGTTGGATATGGTAGATAACAAATTTTGGTTAATTTAATTCCAAATGAAGCACCCTGATGATTATCAAATTTGAAACATCTCTCTCTTTTTTCGTTAATGTCTAGAAGCAGGCTTTTTTTTTTCAGAAATAATTATTTACTCGATTTCTTATTAAAAAAAATATATATGGTTTGTGTCATTTGATCCAAATGTCTAAACTATCAATTGATTTTTTTCTACCAAATTGATTACAGAATATTGTCGCGTGCGGTGCAGGTTTCGTAGATGGCCTGGGATTAGGTGATAATACAAAAGCGGCAGTTATTCGATTGGGTCTAATGGAAATGATCAAATTTGTTGAAATATTTTATCCAGGATGTAAGCTATCAACATTTTTTGAAAGTTGCGGGGTTGGTGATTTAGTAACTACCTGCTATGGAGGTCGTAATCGTCGAGTGAGTGAAGCTTTCGTGAAAACTGGCAAGTCCATAAAACAACTAGAAGATGAACTACTAAATGGACAAAAGTTACAAGGTCCCTTTACGGCTGAAGAGGTTAACTTTATGTCGAAAACTAAGAACATGCAGGATAAGTAAGTTTCTAAGCCGTAAAATTAATTCTTTTGTTTTCTTTAATAGTGTTGCTATCGAATTTACTTTTGTTGAAGTATAACCCATAAATAAAAAAAATTGTGTGGTTTTATGAAACTACGATGCAAGTGAAACTTTTCAGATTGTAGGCATTTAACTGTAAATTTTCGGAAAATTATTCGATTTAGGGTATCTATTAAAATCAAAATCGCGTTCTTAATCTTATTTTAATGATTGGAAAATGGGAATGATAATAGGAAATCAATAGTAAACAAGATATTCAACTCACGATTAAAACACACAAATACCGCGGAGCACTTGCACGAATAAGAGAGAATATAAATGCTGCACCTCTGGTCATGCGAGCGTGGGCGCCGCTTAGCTGCTCTGCCGTGCGCCTTTCACTTTTACCCCTACTCCGCAGCCGGCTGTAATGCAACATGCGATAGATAGACGAAAAAATTTGAAGCGATGTAATAAAATTTTCACTTTGCAATCTGGATCTGACTAAAGCGTTTTTAACCAAAACAATTATCTATAATTTCAGATTCCCCCTATTTACTGCAATTCACAATATTTGTGCCGGTAAACTTCCTGCTGCCGAACTAATAAACTGCATAAGAAATCATCCAGAACATATGTAAGTTTGTCTCCGGAATTGTTTGCTCTTATCTTCGCCCCTTTGCAGTTCTTTTCTTATTTCGTTTGTTGCTTGTTTAATTTTTTGCATGTTAAATCAATTGGAAGCTATCTTTCTCTTTCTTTCTTGGCTTTGATTTTTTAATGGAGGTCAGTTTTTTTTTGCATTTTTAAACGCCAAACTTTATCTAGTAAGCAACTGTTTACTTTATTTAACAATACTATCATAAGAAAATATCATTACAATTCCTTAATTAGTGTGAATGAATTTATTCTACCAAATAAGAAATGGAAGTAACTAATGAATCGTAGAATTGTACTTAAATCAAAGAATCAAATTAACAATCAAGCGAAAGCTTTCTTAAAAATTAACAATTTCAAAAATATTTGAAAGATATTACGTAAGCAATAAGAAAAAAAGTGTTTTATGAAATAGTAGAAAATAATAAAAATTGTTTTCTCGTTAACGTAAATGATAGGTAGTTGATTGATAAAAGGCCTTAATGCCGATAATGCAAGTTAACTTACAGATAGTTTGTAAACTTTTTGACCTTAAAGTTGAATCGAGATAATTGATGGATATTTGTAATCTAGATATGTCATTTAAAGGGGTGTTAGCAGGTATAACGTTAATTGTTATTATTTATTTTTAAGATCAGAAAGTATAAACAAATTGGTAAAATGCATTATTAAAATGCAATACTTTAAAAGAATGGTTTTGAAGGCCTTAATGCCGATAATGCAAGTTAACTTACAGATAGTTTGTAAACTTTTTGACCTNGTCGTCTATATAATATACATATAATGTATTTTGTTTTAACCCTGTAGATATTGTTTACTGTCTAACAAAAATTTTACAATAACTTTTACTAAATATACCTGATGTTAAAACTTTTCGGTGTTTCTGTATGAAAAATGTTTGCACTTTTTTGATGATTTTCAAATGGAAAATACTTTTGTGGGCGTATGGTATTTTGGTTTATGGATCTCAATTGAGTTTTATTTCACCGTACAATGGTCATCATTTACATCACCAGCCCAACAGTCCCATTGAATAAATATCGCTCTTCAACAATACAACTCTTATATTTACGAGTTTAAATGTTTACAAAGACAGAGTTTTATTAAAGACTATGGCTTTTTTATTTGTAAAAAATTCATAAAAACAAAACACTAGAATTGTTGAAAAGTGAAGTTTACAAAACTTTTCCCCTTTGAATGGAGATTCTCCAAGCTCATGAAGTAACTTCACGAAGCTAATTTAATTAAAGTTGGTGCGTACAATGTATTAACTACTAACACACACGCACGAAAAAATATTTTATATTAGACCTTATTAGATTTCGTTTGTAAAAATAAAAAGGATGGTGAAGGAAATATTCGCATAATTATATTGCCTGCGCTCCCTTCCTCTGTTAAGAGGAGTAATAGAAAATTGCACTTCCATTTAATTATAAACAAAAATATTTCTACCTTAAACTTTTGTTAATCTTACGAAATTAAAATAACTCGGTTATTAAAATTTTTGAATAATATCTTGAGACGGATTAAACAGACAGCAGTGTAGATCCAGTGCTTGTAGTGAGTATGATACGAGTATAAATTGAATTTGCTTACCCCTTATGTCCACAGTTTAACAGACACAGCTATAACATATGATGTATGAGATACAATAAGAATTGCAGATCAGATAGATTCCAAAAGTGATATAAAAATTGAAGGTTTCAATTTAATGAAACGCATTTCCGCACCGCCTTTTTTTTTATTTTAGAATACTGTAAACTGAATACATATATAGGGCATTTTAATTCAAGTCAGGACAACCTAAACATACCTTAGCATTACCTTCAAGAAGTGCATACTATAAATGATAGAAAGTATTACAACTAAAAAAGGAATGAATTATTAGATTATGGTAAGTTTAGGTTGTCCTAATTGAAGTAGCGTTGGTTACACCTAAAATTAACCAGTCATCTTACGGAGCGTCCACGTATCAGCTTTTGATTCTAACATTTATATAAAATTGTTATTAACCAATTTATTCCACATAAATGCATATATCAGTAAAGCAGGATGATACGTTCGCTGCACCATAGTATTTGCGGCAATACCCTCCAGGGGTGTAGGACCGATAGAAAGCTCATGAGTAAAGGATTACAAAATTCAGGTGACGCCAGCAAAGAGCATGATTAGCATGTCACAGCTTTTTTTAGCCGGTCAGTAGTTGCCGTTTGAAAAAATCAGCGAGGCCGCGCCCTCAAATTTCGAAACGCATGCGTTGTTTTTTTTTTGGCAAGTAAGACCAAGTTCTAAAACTCCACCACTGTGTTTATTCTTGCTTCACCTAATTACAGCATTGAGAATTTTTTTATGCCAGCGTCATCTCGTGCTTCTTTACTAGTCTCTCTTCTCTATTAGTTATCCCAGAAACATTGAAATGATTTAGTCTTTTCCAGAGAATCGGTAAGAGACAGCCTGAACTAACCATAACCTAACCTTCGACGGGTTCATAATATTAAAAATAAAAATGTACCAAGGAAAAATAAATAAACATACATTAGGAAGAAAAAATAATAATGTACGGGCCCAAAACAATAAACAGATCGCTTGTGTGTTAGGCTAGCATTCTTATCACTGGCCCACAATGCTTTTTTTTTTGTTTTCGTAGAAGAGGGAAACCTTCAAAAGACACTCAGCCGTTCGTACGACTGGATAGTATAGGATTCACTCTTCGCTCCGAGGAGCGCATACCAACTAAAACCCCACTATCTCAGGCTGTTATATCAATTCAAGTCCTCTAGCCGGTCACAATGATTAAAAAAAAAAACTTTCGGGTGTTTCATTCCCACCAGCCAGTAATGCTAGTGTGCGGGCAGTCCCTCCGGACTATGCCAGAAGGTAGGACGGAAGACCCTCTTCAGCCTCCTTTCAGGAATCGTTGAAATGGATGGGTGGTGGTTCGGGTGAGAAAGATGAGACGGACGAAATAAAGACAAAAGAAAATGAAAGATTATCTGTGGAATATTGCTGCACCAGCATTTGCCTAAGTGATCTAAGGAAACCACAGAAAAACTTGGACCAAGGTAGACGGACCCGGAATCGAACCGGCGTCCTCCCGAATGCTAAGCAATGATTTGGACCATTGCTTAGCATTCTAGGCCATGCCGCTCAGTCATCCACAATGACTAATTTTTGGGTGTTTCATTCCCACTAGCCAGTACTGCTGGTGGGTGGGCAGTCCCTCCGGACTACGCCGGAAGGTAGGGCGGAAGGCCCTCTTCAGCCTCCTTCCAGGAATAGTGGGTGGTGGTTCGGGTGAGAAAGATGAGACGGACGAAATGAAGACAGAAGAGAATGAATGATTATCTGTGGAATATTACTGCCTCAGCATTTGCCTAGGTGATCCAAGGAAACCACATAAAAACTTGGACCAAGGCAGACGGACCCAGAATCGAACTGGCGTCCTCCCGAATGCTAAGCAATGGTCTAGACCTCTAGGCTATGCCGCTCGGTCACCACAATGACTCTTGTAAATTCCTATTTATACGTTTTTCACCAATTCAAATATGCCCCACCACCGCCTCTCATCGAAACTCTCTGAAAAGGGCCGAATGTTGGCGAGTTTCCACTATAAAATTTCAGTGTATAAGTCTCGGTTGATGAGGACCTCATTTGATAGGGCCTCTAACTGTCTAAAGTAGAGGGGTTTTTGTCGGTAGGAGCGAGGACACCTTCTTCGGGAATCCGACCTTATCCAGTCGTACTGACAGTCTTTTAAAGATTTCCCCTCTTCCACGAAAACAAAGAAAAAAAAAGTCAAAGTTAATTGCAACGAAAACGTTCGTTTGTACCGTATCTCAATCATTGTTTATTGTATAACTTGGGTTAGTAAATAGTCAGTCAGCTTTACGATGCGAATACTCTGAGCTAAGGTGAAAAAAATAAGGTCAATATTCTAGCTTAATTTAAACCATATGCTAGGAATTATTTGCAGTTAAGTTATTCTCTAATATATTTATTATGATAAAAAGTATAGGTAATTCTCAAAACGTTTGAACTGGTGTTTTCCACCACTAGGGATCTTCACCATTATATTTGCTATTCTGCTGATAATCTTTCCAATGAGAGGCAAGTCATCTAGGTGAGCTCGGCCCGAAATACCAAAGTCCAACCGACACGTTTTAATATTTCTTTTTAATTCTTTTATTTTCCTAATTTTTAAAGCACTTTTAACGACAGTTGGCTCTTCGAAGCATGGTAAAATCGCTTTTAATGTTCCTTATGGAATAATTAATCACAAGTAAATTTAAAAGTACCAATACATATATGTAATACATTAGAAAGTAAGTACTTTTGAGTATTTCAATAAATTAAGGAAACGACTCCTAAGGTAGCTTTTAGTATAGTAGTAAATTGCAATTTTGATCAAAAGTGCCTACCTACTATTTCTGCATGTTTTTTTTAATTAGATCGCAATTAAAACAAAATTTATTAGCCGTAGAAAAACTAATAATTAACTAGAACTTGATTCGTAAATAACTCTTGATATTATAGAGGTTTTATTACAATGCATAGTTCTTGTTTAACTGGTAATTTGAAAAAAGGGCGTACCTATGTGTATATACTGAGAATAAACTATTTTGGAATATTTCTAGAATATTGTCTACTTCATTTCTATGTACAGTCACTGTGCCCTTTTGAGTAGATTTTTAATTGTTAGATTTGTTTAATACTTTTTTGGATTTGTTCTTTTGAAAGTCTAAATTATATTTATACATGTATAACTTTATAGAAGGACGGGCACCACAGCCTGACCATATTATATTTTATTCCTTTTTTATCATTATTAAACTGGTCTTTATCTAATTCTTCACCAAAAAAAAAGTACAAAAACTTGGAAAGTAATTTATATAGGTGTAGGTGGTAACATTCCAACGTTCATGCAGATTGGTATATCTGATTACTGTCTCCTAATTATATTATTTAATTGTACAAGGACTTCATGGCTATATCTACACTGACTATTTTTTGTTCTAGGGGCATATTTGAGTGCGATGAAGCGAAATCCAAACTTTAACGTGACCCACTTACGTTGCACGTTCACTCTCCCCATCTTTACACACTAAATCTAAAATTATCCTTTTTATTAATTTTGTATACGTTCCCATTTATCACGTATTGTTTTGTAATAATTATTTAAAAAATGAGGCATTTAACCCTTAGCTTAAGCTTTAAGAATTTCAAGTATTCAACTTACAAGTATTTCCTAGGTAGGTGACTCTTTTTTATTGTTTATATATTGTTTACCCTCAGTTTAAACGTGTGCCGTATCGTTTAATAAATTTGTTATGAGTGATCTTATTTTGTTCATTTCTTTTATAGTATTTAGTGAACCCTTTAATTTTATTTTTTTTTTTTGATTACTTAAAAAATACTTGTGTTTATAAATAACTAAAGAAATTTAATTTTCAGGGTTAAAGTTGAACCAGATGAATCATTTTCAGCTGAATCAGAACCAGCTGAATAAATAACGTGAACGGTCAATTTTTAGATAACGTAGACTACTTACCTATTTATGATAATTATTTCCAAGTTCAATAAATCATTACCAAATAATGTTATTATTAAATACCTACCCAATAGAAAGTATCTACCGATTTGATTTTTATAGTAATTATTATTATTACCAGAACTATTAAGTGAACTGCTATCTCAGTAGTTTCTTCGGCCTTTTTAGATATTATACTGATTTACTGATTTTTTTCAATCTTTCTTTATTAAAGTTTCCCACCCTCTAGAATCTGAAAACCGTAAGTATGCATGTCAACTTTCAGTATTTAATTTTTCAAAAATCTTACCTTTTTCCAATATTTTAATTGTTTTCGATACGCCATAACTTTCTCAAATGACGAAATACATTGCCAGGTAAGTATTTTATTAGAAAACTGAAATTTATATTATACGAACTCCGAATAACATTTGGCACAATAGATAATATAGTGGCGACCCGCCTGTCTTTCCGCCACACACCTCTAGGTTCGGTGTCATCTGCCAGGTGGCTACACCTCGGCATCTCTCTCAGGCGGCGGGAAATCCCCGCGATTAGTACATAACAGCATCGATTTCCTTCCGAACCCACAGGTCTCCAGATGTCTAAGGCAAAAAGCATGTCGTCAGCCTTACTGATGAGTTCAGGCGTGCTCTCGGGACATCTTTTCTCTCTTCAGTAGACAACGAGATCCCTACAATATGAAATCAAATCCAAAATAGAAGCAAAATAAAGTTTTGTGCCTTATGGGCCAAAACCAAACAGTACCGTCGTAGATTTTAATTTCCATATAACCCAAGGGTTGTTCTAGTTTTAGGGAAATGCGAAGATTAGCTCAGGATAGGAAAGAGTGGAGGTGCGTGTTCAACCAGTTTTAGGACTGATGACTATAATGAGGATGAACCCAAGACGCCTTGAATTCAATAAAAATGGAAATGCAATCACATAATTATGTAATCTCACATAACTCAAGACCCTTGAGTTTCTTGGTATTGTACTGCGCACCTGTATAGATATCCGCAGGAAAACTATAAAATATCTGAAAGCGTATTAATTATAATTAATTAAATATTTGAATAATAAAAAACCATATAAACATGCATCGAATAAAATAATTCGAAGTGGTCTGTATTCTGTCGAAACTGCCAGACGCGGATCGCGATTTCGATCTTTTTGGATCTCACTAGCGCATCGCAGGCAGCTCCGACAGAACACAGACCAACTTTTACCTGCTGTCTTAACAGTGCGTTTTAGAAAATACTACAAATATCGCCATCGCACGATGCTACATTTTAGGATTACATACTTTTATGTACTCTCGTTTCCGATTGTACCTCCCAAACATCCTTAAAGCTATCTCTAACTTCTTGACAGATGCTAATATTGCTATATCATCTGCAAATCTAAGCATACTAATCTTTTGCCCCTGTATATCTATACCTACAGTTGTACTGTCTTTAATGATGTTGATCTCGTCTTATATTTAAATGTCGATCGAGAGAAAAATTACAAAAGCTATGAAAAAAGTATTAGATATTTTAGATATGATAACTGACTTCAAATATTTTCCGGTTTATGATGGTTCATTTCTTTAATGTTTATGGGGCTTTTTGGAGCAGATTTCTGGTGTTGAGATTATAAACACATTCGGTTAGCGACTGCAATCACACGCACAAGTATTTTTTATTCTCTCTGTTTCCGTTGTAAAGTTTAGAAATCAATTAAATTATTAAACAGCAGTGATCCGTTATTTTATTTTAAATAAATTGCTTTGTCAAATTAATTTGGGGCATAGCTGTAATCNGTGGGAATGGGTGGGTGGTGGTTCGGGTGAGAAAGATGAGACGGACGAAATGAAGACAGAAGAGAATGAATGATTATCTGTGGAATATTACTGCCTCAGCATTTGCCTAGGTGATCCAAGGAAACCACATAAAAACTTGGACCAAGGCAGACGGACCCAGAATCGAACTGGCGTCCTCCCGAATGCTAAGCAATGGTCTAGACCTCTAGGCTATGCCGCTCGGTCACCACAATGACTCTTGTAAATTCCTATTTATACGTTTTTCACCAATTCAAATATGCCCCACCACCGCCTCTCATCGAAACTCTCTGAAAAGGGCCGAATGTTGGCGAGTTTCCACTATAAAATTTCAGTGTATAAGTCTCGGTTGATGAGGACCTCATTTGATAGGGCCTCTAACTGTCTAAAGTAGAGGGGTTTTTGTCGGTAGGAGCGAGGACACCTTCTTCGGGAATCCGACCTTATCCAGTCGTACTGACAGTCTTTTAAAGATTTCCCCTCTTCCACGAAAACAAAGAAAAAAAAAGTCAAAGTTAATTGCAACGAAAACGTTCGTTTGTACCGTATCTCAATCATTGTTTATTGTATAACTTGGGTTAGTAAATAGTCAGTCAGCTTTACGATGCGAATACTCTGAGCTAAGGTGAAAAAAATAAGGTCAATATTCTAGCTTAATTTAAACCATATGCTAGGAATTATTTGCAGTTAAGTTATTCTCTAATATATTTATTATGATAAAAAGTATAGGTAATTCTCAAAACGTTTGAACTGGTGTTTTCCACCACTAGGGATCTTCACCATTATATTTGCTATTCTGCTGATAATCTTTCCAATGAGAGGCAAGTCATCTAGGTGAGCTCGGCCCGAAATACCAAAGTCCAACCGACACGTTTTAATATTTCTTTTTAATTCTTTTATTCAGAATAAAATCACGTATAAAACAATCTTAGATGTATATTTTGCAAAAAGGAACAGTTACATAGTTTTAAATTATTTTTTCTAGGAAATCTGAAGAATTATATTTCAAAATAATCTTTCACGGATGACAATCTCCTTCATCTAGATTCAGGTTTCGAATTTGTAGAGAAGATTTTATTATAAGATAGTAATGGGTTGATTCTCAACTGATTTGTTCCTTCTCGATTTCTTCTTCGATTTGGCGTAATCTCGTTAGTCGAACTAATTGTCTCATTTATTTCAAATCGTTCGTTGTGATTAGAAATACTTATATTCGGAATTCCGTAACAGTTTTTGCACTTTTTAATGAATTTGCCGATGACGGGCACACGCGATAGGTTAAGTCTTACGGATTCCCTGATTCATATCCCCGACTACAACATTTGCCGAAGAGATAGAATGCATAGGTAAACGTGGTGGAAGAGTCATAGTGTATATTAAGCAAGTAATCAACTCAATAAAGATAACGATATCACGAATGAGCGACTTTGAAAACCCTGATACGGAAGATATCTGGTTGAAGATATCAATAAATGATACGTACCTTATTACCGGAAGAATATACAGACCTTCCATACCAGACCCAAAATCAAAAGAATCAGATATCAAACTCTTCCAGAAACTCACCGTTGCTTCTTCATATATTTGGGGACTTCAATTTTTCAACCTTAAAATGGACTGCGAGGACCGAGATAGAGCGGGAATTCCTCAGATATTACGTGAACCAAAAGTCTCTCACAAAGAATTAGGAAGCCCATCGGATTGATAATAACGACATTATTACACGCCCAGCTACACGGCCAAATATCGGTTCCATAGTTATCACCACAACCTTGCCAATTGAGGTAGCACAAAGATACGAAGAACCGGAAATCCTCAGTCTTAGACCAAACTCCCTCAGAGCCAACTATGAAGACATCCAACTCCATCTACAAGAGTACCTCCTGCTGCTAGCTGCGGACCCCAAACCTGAGCTAAAAGAGAGATACTTAAGCATCAACAGTGTTGCTCATAATCAACTGGTTACCTACACTCCGGTCTCAAGATTGAAGAGGAAATACAATAAACCTTGGATCGACATCGATAGTAAAAAGAATCCGACCAAAACGGCAAACGAGGTCCAAATACAGACGAACCGGTGACGAAGGACTCCACAGCATCCCAGGTGTTTACTCTCACATCCACAGTCAAATAACAATCTAACCGGGACCACCCAAAACACGAAGGGGTTATCAAATAATAAAAATCACGTCCTATTGTTTATTATTGATCGAAGAACAGGGAGTACAAAGTGCATACGCAACGAATGTTTTTCTTCAACAAAAATTTGTTGTAAATTGTTTATATAAAGAACAACCGCCGTACTTGGTGCTAACAATTATAGCTTCTATTTAATTCGTTCTACTTGGGCAGTGCACAAAGTTTGAAATTTCTGTAAAATGCCTTCCAAACTGAAGAAAGTGTGCATCATAGGTAGTGGTAACTGGTAAGTTCTAAAGCGGAGCTGTTTTTAGTCATGCCGAATTTATTTATAATTATTTAGTTTTTTCCGGGGTGGCGGTCAAATAATTATACAGCCATATAGTTTTTGTAACGTTTCGGTTTATTCAACCATCTTCAGACTGAAGTAAATTTTGTTTTTTACTTATAGTTCTACTAGTTCGGTGTTATACATTAGTTTGTAAAATATAATTAATAGTCATGTTGAACAACTGCATACTAGTTCTGAATGTTTAGGTAAAGCAGTAACCCTCCATCCTGGTTTATATATACAATTGAAGTCTTATAACATATTTTGTTAATGTTGTATCTGTTCTGTTATTATTATTTTTATTATATTATTTATGG